ATACTTACACAGCCACAAATAATTATCCATTGCAAAGCATGATATGATAATCATTGCAAAGCACGACCAGTCAATTAATGTAATTTCTGGGACACACCATCTCCTGCTGGCAAAGTTTAGTAAACATGCTCAAATCATAAATTGACATCGAATTGAATGCAGATGGCGCTTCAACTAGAATGCTCACAGTACGCCACACATCCAAGTGAACATAGTTCTCGACAACGGTCTTTATTACAACGAACAAAAAGAACACAACGCTGATAAGGTACATAAATAACTCAACATGCTCATGCTAGAAAGCAAAAACAACTAAAGAAGCCTCGGGAGGAAGTATGCTACTGATCACTTGGACTTGGAGAAAATGAAGTCCCACGAGACATTCACCCAATTCAGCCAGCCCTCTTTTGTTTCCAAATCAAGAAAAGCCCGACGACGGAGCCTGTTGTTGCAAAGATTAAGGGCTTGGGCAAAGACTACATCACTCTCGCTGTAACCATCTTGCTTCAGAATCTGATTGACTTGGGCCATCTCCTCGGCACCAGTGGCTTAATGGGCCTTATGCGCCCTAGTATCCCTGATAATGTCGCTCAGGTCATCAAGGCAGTCATCAAGGGTTAGAGTCCTGCTACTCTTCTTACTGCAAGGACTGTTAACGGAATGGTCCCTAGTGACTCTCTTGGAGGACTAACCAACACTATGTGGTTGTACGGGCTCGTCGGACAAGGCTTGAGGAGTTTGAGGGCTTGCACTACTGGGTGTACGGTCAGGTTCATGTCCCCCTGCAGATACCAACTCGCCCCTATCACGTGGGGTGTGTCCCAAAATCAAGATCAGTTGCTCACAACATTGTGGACGTCTGAACCTCTCACGAGCGGTTTGGCTACTTTCCTGCACGTGATCCAGGGATGGCCATGTTAGTAGTCAGTTAGTGCGAACCTAAATGCTAAAGAGTCAACGAAAACGCTGTAGTTAGTACCCCGGTGCCTGCGGCATACCAACCTGGGCTAGCTGTCACGTCTCCAGTATGCGGGTCACGGCCTAGCCCAGTATGGATCTGACCGTCGCGCCAATTGAAATACGCCCTTTTCAGCTCGTTGTACTTGTTCCGGTGCTATTTCTTGTTGTACCCGAGCCTTGTGGCCTCGTTAAAGGCACGATGGACATTTGTCCACCCGATAGGGGTTGGGGTATTGTTGCCCCAGTGACATAGGTTTTTCTGCTGAGTGATTAGCTCAAGAAACAATGAGCAGGTTCTATCATCCTAGCTAGCACGATCACGGTTCATCTGATGCTATGTTCGATATTTCGATGGATTATGTATATGGATGCTATGAAAATAGAAAAAAGATGTTCCTAGCATTACGCAAAGAAGGGATTGGGCGAAGGAAAAGGGAACTTGCCTTTCCAAAACGCTTGCGGCATTTTGAACGGAGGTTGTACTGCCTGGCTGCAGGTGGAGAGCACGACAAAGTTGACGACGCTGCCAGTGTGGGCTGCGTTGAGCACCAGCGGATGAAATGTCCCTGAATTCTCTGCAGCGTAAACATAGAGCATAATGTTTAGGTTCAATAAAACATAATGCATGAACAGCAGGCGTTAGTACTCTTAAAACCGTCTACCAAGTTGTGCATATGAACATTATAATCCATACAAGATTATTATTTATAAACTAGGCAACAAGGACATATGAACTCAAATTTGTAGTCGCCAACGGATATACACATAGAAATAGGAACGTTATCAAAATACAAATGGGGTACAAACTCAAGAAAGCAATTACAACAGCTAAGTTAAAACAAATATAACAATTAGAGAGCTCATTTGAAAGATAGCTCAAATCAAAGGAAACAGCGCCCTTTCTTAAGCACAGGGAGGACAAGCGGCCAGACTATTACAATAGGAAAGATGATTGCAAAACCAACTAGCATCGTACAATGCAGGATATTTACTATCGAGCTCTTGTGCTGCATGTATACAAGACAACCAGTGTTCTCATGATCCAAGAACACAAACTGGCAATAAGTAGTTTACTAAAGGACGCATGAATTACTAACCTTCTGCAGGTCGAGCTGAACCTAGAACACCAATTAATAGAGTCTTGTCTTGTTTGGAATTGTACAAGAATGTACTACAACACTGATCACCAATTTAGGACTGCACCAGCTTTCTCATCCTGCACAATTCGGAGGCAACACAGGACGTAACACATCAACAATAAGTTATGTATGATCAACAAAGTTATGTTCAACATAGATCTAAAATACGAACCTTTTCAGTGGGCAGATCGAAAACACCTGGAAGGAGCTGCCGTCGACCGGGTCGTGGCAGTGATGGGGGGTGGGGCGCGGGGGAAACCTACAAGACGAGGCCGTGGGGCTCAGATCCGGCCTGGTGAGACTACAACGACGTGGGATCCGGGGGTACCTTGCTGGAGGCAATTGGCGTCGAGGGAGACGGGTTCGGGGAGGGAGGCGGAGCTCAATGTCACCGAGGCTGTCGACGGTGAGACTCGGCGTCACGGCGTACAGAGGCGGGCGGGGACCGATCCACTGACCAACGAAGGGGCCCGGCGACGCGGCGGTCACGACCGCCGAGACTCGCGCGTAGAGACACAGACGAGCGGCGAGATTGCGGCGGAACCCTAGCCGCGCAAAGCGAAGGGGAAAAGAGAAGAGAGGGAGTGGCACTCGGTGCCTGGCGTCGCTTTTTGTCCAGCCGTTCGGCTGGGGCTGTGCTACCGAACGGCTGAGCTGATAAGCCCAAGCACATCCAGCCCAGCAAGCCGTTTCATGCCAACCCTACAGGGTGCATGTGCAGTCTGGTAACAATCCTACAATGAACCACCTAGTTATTGTCCTCATGGTGGCGTGTGCAGCCCAAGTCCAGGTCCAGTAGTTAGTTGGATTTTAATTTGTGATGCTGCCCTGAACTGAAACAGCGCACTCGCAGCTTGCCTGGCAGTTATCCTCGCCACGTAGTCATGTAGGGAAAATAGTACATCATTGAACTGCTACCTGTGTTTTTTTTACTGTGCTAGAGCACAATCCAAACTCAACACATTTCATTTCAACAGGAAAACAGAAGGTCCAAGAAATGGTGGAGAGCTAGCCTGGAGCTCTGTCTGCTAAATAAATTCTTCAGCTTGCAGTCTATAGGACTTGCTCTCTGCTCAAACTCGATCAGGGCCTGCGATCAGCTCCTTCCTTGCAGTAGTAGCCCTCTCACCTTTGAGCACTTTATTTATTGGAAGATTAGCTTTACTGGAGAATACATTCTCCAATCAGACGACTTTATTTACTCACTAAGAAAGGTTTATGCAATACATTCATCAATCAGACGAGTTCACCGGAGATTAATTTGCTTCAGAAAGGGTGCCGCAAGAACGACCAATCATTTGCAGATTCTGGAAACGATACTACGAGGAAGTCAGCATCATTGGAATTTCCAAAAGTAAAAAAGAGAATTCATTAAGCATGTTGATATAACGAACCTTGGTTGCAACTTTCATCTAGTCCTCACTTCTCAATCTGAAGCACTCCAGCTTACTCATTAATGCTGCTATTCTCCCTGTAGGGACCGGCTCTGCAGGCCCTGATCATAGATGATGTTATAATTTATGCATGTAAATAAATGTGGAATTGGAGACATTGCTGGTGAAGGGCCATGGTCCACCGTCCAAGTATTATTACTATTATTATAGTCTCCTAAATTTGTATATGTAGAGACCACAAAATGACATATATACAAAGATATCTATGTAAATATTAATGTGGCCGGCGTGTTGATTCTTAAACTTTGCATGTACGTACGTAGTTACCCATCTATGTATCAATGCGTGCACTTCATGGCTCACTAGATCTTCTGTACATGGTTGAATAGATGTTCTGCACACTTCATTATTTTAAGGTTTTTTATTTATCTGTAAATCGCGTCACGTCTTGTGATAAGTAATACTAGAATAATAACAATCGAGCTCCTGGCCATTTATATTAAATTAGTTAAAATGAAACCAAGAAATTAAGTAGAGATTACCTTGAAGAAGGTGGGGGTCTAGAGTTTTCTCCTCGAGGTGATCCAGACGTTGCTGTAGGTTCGGTGGAAGCTGCTTTATACCACTACAGCGTTTAATCATAAGAAAACTAAGAGATGAGTATGCTTGATGAGCAGGCCCATTCGGTAAGGATTCCAGGCTTTCGCAAGACCTAATTTTGAGTTGTTCCAGCGACGGGACCTCTCCTGACACGGAAACAAGACTGCCGCAACCCGAAATGTTCAAGGTCTTGATGGACGGAGGAAGGTTGGCAACCTCTGTCAAGCCACCGCAATCATATATCTCTAGAGATTTTAGGCATGGAAAGATGCAATGGTTTCTGCCGGTTGATGATGACTGCTTCGGTACTACAGATGTAGATGCTCCATCGGACATGGACTCTGGTTTGGAATCAAGCTCCACTTGCTCTGTATGAATGAATGAGATACAACACAAGTGTAAAATAAACAATGTTTTCATGGTAGTGTGACATGCCAAAACTAATTTGTACATTATAGAACAGGTAATTTGGCAAGCAAAACGGCCTGGCGAGATAATTGTAAATAAGAGAAAAAAAAAAGTTTGTGATTCCGGTGTCGGATTGCACAAGTGGAGGTATCAATTGTTCCTGGTGTTAATATAATTTGTACGTGCACGAAATGTGCAATCCCAAAAGTTTAAAAAATCAAGGTGGCACAAGTGCACAAGTAGCTATAGAGGTATCAGTGGCGTACTCTACCACAGCGAAGCATATATATCTGTATGCATGCATGGTTGACTAGATGTTGTGTACACTTCATTATTATTTTAAGCTTTTATTATCACTAATCGTGCCACATGTTGGGATAATTGATAAAATGATGATTAAACCAAGAGTAGCGTTTTAGGCAACAACAATCGAGATCCTCTCTCTGTTCATTTATATTAAATTAGTTAAAATGAAACCAAGAAATTAAGTAGAGATTACCTTGAAGAAGATGGGGGTCTAGATTTTTCTTCTCGAGGTGACCCAAACATTGCTGTAGGCTCGATAGAAGCTGCTTTATACCACTACAGCGTTCAATCCTAAGAACTATGAGAGATGAGTATACTTGATGAGGTCCATTCGGTAAGGATTGCAGGCATCCACACTCACGAATCTGGAGTACTTCCAGCGACGTGACCTCTCCTGACACGGAAACAAGACTGCCGCAACCCCAAATCTCCAAGGTCTTGATAGACGGAGGAAGGTTGGCAACCTCTGTCAAGCCACTGCAGTCATTTATCTCTAGAAATTCAAGGCATGGAAAGAAGCAATGATTACTGCTGGCTGATGATGATGACACCGGCTTCAGTACTACAGCTGTAGACACCGTGGATTCATCCTCATTGCTGGACGAGGACGACCCTGCAGCAATCAATGATGATGACGTTTCCAGCCCCGTCGTGTCCTGCTGCTCACCGAATGCAATGGATTTGATACTCTTGCACCCCCAAATAAGTAACTTCTTGAGAGATGTCGATAGGTTTGGGACCTGTACCAAAGATTCGCAGCCACATATCACTAGGAAGTCCAGACGTGGCAGGAGGGTTCCACTCCGTTGTACGAGAGCAGATTGTTTATGAGAAGCTTCATCTTCCGTGAGTCCTGTCAGTTTGTTGCACATGAGAATCTCTAACGTCCTCAAGGATACTAGGCCCTGGAACAATTTCTCTGGCCAGTAGACTAGAGCATCGCACTCAGCAATTTTCAAAGTTGCTAGCTGTCCAAAACATTTCCATAGCGCCAGTGCACTCGAGCCAGAGAAGAAAAGGTCACACCCTCTTAAGTACAGATCTCTCAGGGGGGATTTATGCTCACGTACTACCTCCAGTTCGGCAGAATTTTCTTCTTTATTTGGTGCCTTTACCTCCAGACTGGACAATGAAGTAATATATCTGCTACCAGCCTGTAGGCATGCTTGCTGTCTACAGTTGGATAGTTCTACTTCTCTTAGCTTCGGTGCTTCAGGAAAAGTAGTCAACTCTGGGCAACCAATAACTTTCAGTTGCTCAAGCGAAGGAAATATTACTTGCTCTCCTTGCACCTCATTCCTATCCCACCACATCTCAAAATTTGGCATATTCTTCAAGGCCATCATCTTCAGTTTCTGAAACTTGGACGGGCACCACCATTGAACAAGCAATGTAAATTTTGTAGGTTGCTCAGTGAAAAACTGGAGGGATCAGAATCGCCAGTGCAGTGAAGCTTCTCGAGATTTTGGCAATCTTCTAACTCGAGCTTCACCATGCCTTGCAGCTCAAGCATCCATGTTGGAATACCACTTTGAATCTCTGCAGCAATACATCCTCAGAGCCTTTAGCCCATCATAAGGTCGGAGGCCTTCCAGCACCTCCTTATGTGCCTCCTTTTCATTATCGTCGAGACCATCTTAATGTTAGTTCTTCCGGCCTTTTCTTGTCCCAAAGTTTTCTTTGCTTTTGCATCTGCCTGTCGCATTTTCAAGCTTCCTTAGCTCCGGTGCCACCAAGGTCCAAGTTCTTCAAAGCGCTTCCATGTTACGCAACCCGAGCCGATTACCTAATACAAAGCATGTAAGCGTCTCTAGGGAAGTGAGGTGTCCGAGGTTTGGAGGCATGCTCGTTAACCCGGACATCCGTGAGTGTAGAGGTGACGGAGGGCGCTCATATACTTCATTGCCTTTGGAAGTTGTTCAAGACTTTCACAATAGGATAGGTTCAATGTTTGCAGATGATACAGGATGGTAATGTCTTGAGGAAGTGCTACAATATCACTTCTTGAGAGATCAAGATACCTTAGGTGATGAAGATATTTGGCTTTAGAAATGGACCTTGCCGTGTCCTTAAGGCTCAGACTGGACAGGCCTCAAATATTTTGATAATTTCACATCTCGCTATTTCGGATCTATCACATATTAGTGTGCGGATAGTGGAGACCCTTTCTCTATGGAAGCATTCAAAACATTTTCTTCAATGTCAATCGATAGAAATAAATGGCGAAGCGGAGTATGGAAAATCCTCACTTTGGCTCGGGATTCGTATCTATTGCAAAGACATTCTTTTCCCATTGAATCTGTGCAACATCATGCATAAGGTCATGGATTTTACAAGTAATTTGTCTGTTAAATTTGTCTTGCTGCACCTCCTGAAAAAATGACCTTTGGGCGAGCTCATTGAAAATTTGTTTACCAGTGACTTCAGGACACACTCCTGTTGCTACCGGGATAAAACTATTAGCCATCCATAGTCGGATCAACATTTCCACATCAATCTTATGATCCTTAGGAAACATAGCACAAAAGGCAAAGCACTGTCGCATATGTGGTGGCAAGCAATTGTAATCGAGCTTGAGTAATTGGTAAGATTCCATTTTCGTCATCACAAATTGTGCTTCGGTTTAATACCGCCTCCCATTCTTGCACGGTATTCTTAGTACAATCTGAGCCCAATCTTTAAGTGACTAAAGGAGAACCGGAACATCTCTTCGCAACATCACCAACCATATTGAGTAGCTGTTTATCATGCTTTTGTGCTTGCACACTAAATGCTTCTTTCTTGATAATTTTTTCTATGTAGCTTTGTTCCAAGTGCTTGATCTTGTGGGCTTCGATTGTCCCCATGAACCGAGCAATATTTTCATCACGAGTTGTTGTCAAAACTGAGCTACCGGGGGCACCATGATGAATGTAGGACCTCAACTTATCCCACTTGTTGGCCTCACGGTTCCATACATCATCTAGTACAAGGAGATACTTCTTCCCACTCAACGCACTTTTAAACTTTTCCATTGTTGAACCACCGGTCATTTGACAACCATTCTTTTGACCTCTTTCACTATTGCTTCAAACAGGGAATCCACATCAAAGTTTTCCGACACACACACCCAGATCTCGAACACGAAGTGCTTACGAATGGCGGAGTCATGGTAAACAAGTCTGCGCTAATGTGGTCTTGCCCATCCCACCCATTCCTACTACAGGAAGGACTGTGAGACCCACATTGTCCCCTTGGCCAAGCAATGCATCAACAATCTCCTTCTTCTCTTTTGCTCTTGAGTCACTTGCAATGTTCACATAATTGTCTAGCATGTTAGGATCTGTCTGCCTCCACTTCATGGACATTGGTGGCTGTGGTTTGAATTTGAACCTAAAGGTATTCATCTCTGCTATGAGGACATCAATTTCTTGCAAAATCATACGGAGCTTGTTTGCCATCCTATAACGGAACACAAACCGGTTGTGAGAAGGGAAGAGCTTTATGACATCCATACCGAACTCCTTGTAGTGCCCCTCTGCCTTTGCCTTGCGGCGGAGTGCCTCGTACTTGAACTCGTCAAGGACATCGTTCGCCTTGTAGGCCACGGTCCGGAGCTCCTCAAGCCAAGCTTTCGCCCCCTCTCTGTTTTTCGCTGCCTGCTCCTCGTCGTCAGTGATGACGTCCAGGACGGCGGGCAGCTTGCGCTTGAGGAGCTTGTGCTGCTCCTCCATGCCCTCCATGACCTTGTACTGGTCCAGGAGGTGGCTGGAGGCCTTCTCCTTCACCATGGACACCAGCGGCCCGACCACCATGGTGGCCAGTACCTCCGCCATCGGAACGCCCGGAGTTCACAACACACACGCAGGACACAAGCAAGATAGCACAGCTGCAGGCAGTGTTGTGTGGAGAAGGGAATAGTCCTGGGCAACCCTCTTGTGAGGGTAACGCATATGGAAGAGAGGAAAGTGTGTGCGCTGGACATAGAAACAAGGCATCTATTCGTCACCTACTTTGGTATATGGAAAGAAAAGCTCAGCATCAAAATTGCATTGCAGCCTTAGCTTTGGGCAATCGACTCAACTTTTGACTCAACTTTTGGATTGTAAAGCTTACCATAAAAAAACGCATATGTTAAAGGCTGGGCAGATTGGTCCCGTGCTGGCTTTTTTAGGATTCAGTAACGATAATTGCCTTCACCAAATAAGCACCTACTAAAGGCATACGTTGATACAATAGCCGAGTTTAGTGAAAATAACCTGAGATTTGTGACGTATTTAGACGGTCGATGTGTGTGTGAACAGGAGGCAGCTAGCTTAAGCTTGCTTACGTACTAGCGTATCTGATATTGATGATGTGTGTGAACATGAGCTTGCTTACTAGTTACCCGGCGCACATGAATTTCGATTCGCTGCTTGCTCTTCCTGCACTCTGGAGTCTGGAGCATCTTCCTCCACTCCAACCTCACCCGAGATGGCCCATGTTTAGTGAAAGCAACCTCCACCATCAGATGCCTGCGATTTGTGACGTCTTTTTTTTAAAGGAGAATATATACTCTCTGCTTTTAAGAAAGCAAATAGTTCGGTACAATGCCTGGGACTCCAGCTTACACGGCTGAGCAAAAGAACACTACGCCAAAAGGAGACACCTTAGGGCGTGTTTGGGACTGCTCCGCTCCACGTTTTTTAGCTCCGCTCCACGTTTTTTAGCCAAACGGTTTCAGCTCCACGCACTCTGCTCCAGGAAAAAGGGTGGAGTTATGAGAGCACCTAAAGAGGTACTCCACAAACTCCAGTTTTTTGTGGAGCTGCTCCACGGTGGAGTTTGTGGAGCAGAGTTTGTGGAGCAGTCCCAAACACCCCTTAATCGGACCCGAAAAAAAGATGAAAAACAGTTAAGTCCGGACTCAAGTCCGGAACCCCCTCAGCCTCCCCTCCCCCGTCCCGTCCCGTCTCTCTCTCATCCCCTCCATCCCCTTTCCATCCACCGCCGCCACCACCTCTCCCCCTGCCCCAACCAAGTCGACATCATACACGGCGGCGAGGACGAGTTGCGGAACCTGCTCCGCGAGCATGTGCAGGCTCTGGGCCGCAGCCGGCCCATCGCCTCCGCCGAGTGCGGCGGCGAGCTGGTCTCGCTGGCGCCGCCCGTGCCGGCGACGAGCAGGCTGAGCGCAACTTGGAGGGAGAGCGGGGAGGCGGCGGCGTTGCTAGCGGGCGCGGCGGCTGTGAGCGAGGAGAGTGCGGCGGTGAGGCGAAGTGCGAAGCGTGTCTGGCGCGCGATCGAGAGACGGCCCGAGGGGTGAGGTCTAGAGGGAGGGAGATGGGCAACGAGGCTGTGGCAGCGCGGTGGGTTGGGGAGCGGTGGCTGTGCCGTCCCTGGCCGGCTACATCGTGTGACCATCCTCCCTCAGGCCTAAGATCCGGGCACCACCACCACCACCGTCCTCAGATCTCAGCTCGCACAGCAGCTGGACGGCGAAGGACACCAGCAAGGCGTAGCAGCAGATGTCGGGTGACTACATCGAATCCTACAACGAGTGGCCCCCTCCCTGCTCCACCACGGATGATATCTCCATTCACTTCGAGGTAAAGCAACCCACCACTGCTCATCGATAGAATGTTCTGATGATTGTCCAATCAGTCAACTGAAGTAGAATGAGCCGTGAAGCAAAGAGGAGAGCTAGCATTAATGGACTAGTAGTCCGATTTGCATTAGGTTTCCTTACCTGTGGGTGGTGCATCTTGATGTAAACTGAATAATAGATTTTTAGAGGTGCAAGTGGACTAGTGCATTTGTTTCAAGTTGGCCGTCACAGATTAGTCATTCAGGTTATGATAGACTGCTGCTAATGCCTCTTCAGATTTCTGATCTTGTTAGGCCTAATTGGTGTGTGCTAGGTATGTTGCTAATGCCTGAATGTTCTAAACCTGTATGGTTTAATTGATCTTGTTAGGCCTAATTGGTGGTGTGCTAGTGCCCTGAACTGCACTATTTCTAATTTCCCTTGCTTTGCACCATAGACTGACCAGATTGAAAAGGTTGCTTTTTTGCAGCTTTGTTGTAGAAGGATGAAGGCATTGTTTTTATGCAACGTACGTTAATGAGTGATGAGAGCGAGTTGTAATTTGCACTTGTTTTTGCTGAAATTAGCATCAATGCTTTGCTTCATTTCTAGACAACTCAAAATAACTCGTAATGTACCAAATTAAATGTTCTATTCTGCACCCTGCTGCTGCTGAAGTGCTTGCCCCAATTGTCTGCTCAGTTTGTAGGGTTAGAGTTTAAAAGTAGACTTTTGGATATTTGGAGCAGGATTGTAAAACTTAGAATTATTTGTTCAGTTGTTGGCTTGTAGGGTTAGAGTCTGAACAAATAAGTAGTAACTGAATGTGAAAAGTAATCTTCCTGTATTGGCCTGCTGAATGGGATACAATAAGAAAAAACTGAGCTTATATATAATAGAAACATTAGGATACATTATGATTACTGAAACAATGGACACAACTCTTTCTTTTGTTACTTCTCCCCTTAGCACTTTCAGTTCAATTTCTACACATGCATCAATACATTTTACTCGTTTGGTTTCTTACAGTATGAGATATATGATGGATTGCTTGCTAGGAATCTAAATTGGACATCGCCGGCAGATATGTCTAGAGTAAGATATGAACCAGCTCACTGTACTAGTTTAGTTGTAATTTAGATCTCACATGCTCTCTTAAATGTCAATGCTCGGATGTTTACAGACATGTCATTTTCTTTTCTTAATCGTACTTTTGTGTTCTGCAGGGATATGGGCAACAATAATCTTGAAGGCAGTGGCATTTCTTATAATCTTCCTCCTAATCTCCAGAGCTTGTGAGTCATGTTTGATGTGTACCTCATCATTCCTATTAATGCTTTTGGCATAGGAATGATGAGGTACCTCATCATCAACTGCACACCTGGTTTATCTGACCACTTGTCTTCGTGACATATGAACACCTGTTCATCTGGCCTTGCTGTTCTCAGATGTTAGTCTGTGTTGTTACAGGATCGCTTGAAGAAGCTTAACTCAGAGCATGGAAAGGTCCAGCTTGGAAACATAACTGTGGATATGGTATGATATACTGCTATGCTATCAATTGTCCGTGGATAGTTCTGTTGCTTTTCTAGTCTTCTAGAGCATATATTAACTCATCATGTGAAATTCCTGAATAATGTTCCTGCAGGTCCTTGGTGGAATGAGTAGGATGATTATAATGCTTTGGGAAACATCCCTACTCGAGCCAGAGGTGGTAATCTTGCATTCATCCTCTTCATGATGCTATGTTAGCATAGTGTACTATTAGCTCGTGCCCATTCAGAATTCAGACTTCGAGTGTTCCGCTCCTCTCGTCTCCTTGCCGCCGGCTCGCGCGACCACACGATGGAACCCATGGTCGGCCGCCGCCGCAGCAGCCGAGGAGCAAGTCGGGCGCCGGCCCCATCGACAGACGAACCCGCACTGCAGGATCCTGCCGATCTTGGGCCCGTACTCCCTCCATTTCCCAAACCCTCGATGCATTGTTTGTCTGTCTTTGGTTGGATGGATATGGAGCCGAATCGGAGCAAATGGAGAACCCATGCATGTCACGTGTATGAGGCAATGGACTCTCATGCATGGCCTCCTGTTAGATGCCGTGATCCGCTGTTAGTTGGTTTTTAAGGGTCATCCCCGATCCATCATGGCATTCAGTTTCTAATAAGCACTATTCAGTATCGTTTTACACTTCAGTTCAGAAACACAAATGTAGGTGCTGAAGGCAAGAAGGGCACTAGAGACAACCTTCTAGAGTATTTCAAATACCACCTGGAGTGCAGAGCGTTTCAGTTGTAGCTGCTCCTCGATCAAATACCACCTGGAGTGATCCTTGTGGGTCTCGCGAGTACTAGTAGTGATCTGCTGTTAGTTAGGACATGGTCATCACTAAACTCAAGATTATAACCTGTCAGAGAAAAAAAAAGTCGAGCCTGCCATTGTTCTGTTGGACTAGTAATAGAGTGCAGATGTTAAACCTCTGATACATCGCACATAGGACATATGGGGTTAATTTTGGCACTGCAGGTTGCTTATGTAGTTGTTTGTTATGGTATTTTGGGATCTACCGAATAGTGGGAGATCGATTAATTTCTGCACTACATTGTGATTGGGCTTGCTCTGAATCCTGCACTTGGTGTGTTATGAAAACCTTTTATGTTCTGTTGCTTCATGCTATTCATCTTGAGGACTTACATATGAAGAAAATTTAAATACCCCTTTGTTGTGATTCTAAAAATATTACTAATTTAAGTTTAGTGTGTTGATATGCGTCCTATTATGCTGGTAGTTCAACAAAATGGAAGGAAATCATTGTTTTCCTTAGTGTATAGAAAGATCTTGTTACATTTCTAACAGTTTATCACAGTGCTCTCTGCTTTCTTTCTTCTGATCAACATGTATTGAATTCCTTGTGTTTGACAGGAAAAATGATGTTGCAAAAAGGCCATCTAAGAAGCCCTGCCATGCCTCGAGTAAGAGCTGTACATCCTCTGTCGTATCCAGCCCCAATGTTTGGGCAGATCATCTGGACTGTCTGCTTCACCAAATTATTGCTCTCCTTAGCTCATCCAATGACATCATTGCTTTTGCTGCAACCTGCCGCTCTTGGCGCGCTGCATTCACATCCTTCCCATCTACATTGAGCTGCAATGTCCCACCTCTCTGCCTGCAATCTCACATCCATTATCCTCATCGCGGCCACAGCCGCATCAAGTACAGTCTTCTATACAATTGTGAGTGGCAGCTCACCGATCCTCCTCCTGTCGCTTGTCGCCACCCCACAACCATCCAAACCGCATGCACTATTTGGGTTGCTCATATGGTAATCTTATATTCTCCAACTCGAATCAGTGCCTCCTTGTAGATGTTTTTGGTTTTACTACCGTGAGGCCTCCCAAATTGAAATCGACAGGCAAGCATGAGATCTACTACGGAATCCTTGATGGTTCCCTCAAGTCACCCAACTCGCATCTCTTCCTTTGCTCAGGGTCATCCATTTTCCAGTGGCAAGTTGGGTCTAACTCTTGGTTGGAGCATCCTCTGGATATCCCAAGCATCTTTCGAATCGTGTTTTTTAAAGGTGAGATGTTTGCCAGGGATCACTTGGATGGGATCCACACCATTCGCTTGGCACCTCAACTAAGCATACATGAAGTAGATATTGACTGGACAGAGTACTGGAGAGAAGATAGTGTTGTGGGCCGAGCTGTGATGTATTGGCTGGTGGTATGTGGTGACATGTTTCTCATGGTTGACCTCTCAATGAGCACTGATAGGCCTACTGTCTTCTTTAGAGTTTTCAGGCTTGATTTCTCCATCGTACCACCTAAGTGGGTGAAGGTGGAGAATTTGGGAAACCATGCCATCTTTGTAAGCTTTGATCAAAGGAACCCGGCATTTTGCTGCACGGACCCTGAAAGATGGAGAGGAAAGAGTAACTGTATCTATGTTGCCACCCAGTCTAAGAAGAATGATAAACCTTGGACTGTGGTCGAGCTTGGTCAGGCAGTATCTAGTAGAAATTGGAGGCCCATTGTGTATCCTGATTCTTATCCCTATGGCAATCCCGGTCGACTAGATAACCTTTGGGTGTTTCCTAGTTTGGTTTATCATGTTGGGCTGTGAGCATCTTTGGTTTTCCTGGAGTTTTAGCTAAGTCATTTTGATGTAATATTTTCTTGACTTGGCATGCCATGTTCTCGTGTTCAAACAAGTTAAATGTACTATAATCCATTGCAAATTGTAAGCCTAGCCATAGTCCTAGTTTTTTCTGCGTTGAACATTTGAGCACTGATGTTGCTCATCTTGCAGGTCTTTCTAGATATATACTCCATCCGGTCTAGTTTATAAGGCATCTTTCTGACATGTCATGTCTCCTAAATTACTTTGATTATTTATTTAAACTTTTGATTATTTGATATTAGATTTAATTACAAATCTAACAGTATCTAGTTTGTATTACAATAGTTAAAAGTTGTTAGCCAAATTATTGGTTATAAAGTTTGACGTTTGAGGGAGGAATGCGTACTAGTGGATATGCTGTTGATGCAGACCAAGTTCGGCTTTGTGATGCTGGCTAAAATTAAACTGAACTTGTCAGTGCACACCAAGTTCAGCTTAAAATAGTTGTCTACCGGACGACAACGATATTATATATGTTGTTGCCCCCCCCCCCCACACACACACACACACCCCACCGCAGTCAATGTAGGAAAAAACAATACATCATGGGATGAGACTGCTATCTTATTTAGAAACTATGCAGTACATTTCAAAAGGAAAACCATAGGACCAAAAAATGGACAGCTAGCATGGAGCTCAGTGTGCTAACTAAATTACCTTCAGAAGAAACTAAGGGTATGCAATATATTCTTGCATCAGAAGAAATTATGGAGATTAGCTTTAGAAAGGGTATGCAATACATTTTCCCGTGAGTCGCAAGAACGACCAATCATGTGCAGTCTGGTAACAATCCTACAATGAACCACCTAGTTATTGTCCTCAAGCTGGCGTGTTCCGCCCAAGTCCAGGTCCAGTAGTTAGTTGGATTTTCATTTGTGATGCTGCCCTGAACTGAAACAGCGCACTCGCAGCTTGCCTGGCAGTTATCCTCGCCACGTAGTCATGTAGGGAAAATAGTACATCATTGAACTGCTACCTGTGTTTTTTTTTCCTACTATGCTAGAGCACAATGCAAACTCAAACACATCTTGTGATGCATGTATATAAGACAACCAGTGTTCTCAGGATCCAAGAACACAAACCGGCAATAAGTAGTTTACTAAATGACGCATGAATTACTAACCTTCTGCTGGTCGAGCTGAACCTAGAACACCAATTAATAGAGCCTTGTCTTGTTTGGAATTGTACAAGAACGTACTACAACACTGATCACCAATTTAGGACTGCACCAGCTTCGTCATCCTGCACAATTCGGAGGCAACACAGGACGGAACACGTCAACAGTAAGTTATGTATGATCAACAAAGTTATGTTCAACATAGATCTGAAATACGAACCTTCTCAGTGGGCGGATCGGAAACACCTGGAAGGAGCTGCCGTCGACCGGGTCGTGGCGGTGATGGGGGGTGGGGTGCGGGGGAAACCTACAAGACGAGGCCGTGGGGCTCAGATCCGGCCGGGTGAGACTGACGGTGTGGGATCCGGGGGTACCTTGCTAGAGGCAATCGGCGTCGATGGAGGCGGATTCGGGGAGGGAGGCAGAGCTCAATGTCACCAAGGCTATCGACGTCGAGACTCAGCGTCACGGCGAACAGAAGCGGGCGGGGACCGATCCGCTGACCAACTACGGGGCCCGGCGATGCGGCGGTCACGATCACCGAGACTCGCGCGCAGAGACGCGGACGGGCGGCAAGACTGCGACGGAACTCTAGCCGCGCAAAGCGAAGGGAAAAAGATGAGGGAGGGAGTGGCACGCAGTGCCTGGCGTCGCTTTTTGTCCGGCCGTTCTGCTGGGGCTGGGCTACCGAACGGCTGGGCTGATAAGCCCAAGCACGTCCAGCCCAGCAAGCCGTTTCATGCCAACCCAACATGGTGCATGTGCAGTCTGGTAACAATCCTACAATGAACCACCTAGTTATTGTCCTCAAGCTGGCGTGTGCAGCCCAAGTCCAGGTCCAGTAGTTAGTTGGATTTTAATTTGTGATGCTGCCCTGAACTGAAACAGCGCACTCGCAGCTTGCCTGGCAGTTATCCTCGCCACGTAGTCATGTAGGGAAAATAGTACATCACTGAACTGCTACCTGTGTTTTTTTTCTACTGAGCTAGAGCACAATGCAAACTCAAACACATTTCATTTCAACAGGAAAACAGAAGGTCCAAGAAACGGTGGAGAGCTAGCCTGGAGCTCTGTCTGCTAAATAAATTCTTCAGCTTGCAGTCTATAGGACTTTCTCTGCTCAAACTCGATCAGGGCCTGCGATCAGCTCCTTCATTGCAGTAGTAGCCCTCTCACCTTTGTGCACTTTATTTATTGGAAGATTAGCTTTACTGGAGAATACATTCTCCAATCAGACGACTTTATTTACTCACTAAGAAAGGTTTATGCAATACATTCATCAATCAGACGACTTCACCGGAGATTAATTTGCTTCAGAAAGGGTGCCGCAAGAACGACCAATCATTTGCAGATTCTGGAAACGATACTACGAGGAAGTCAGCATCATTGGAATTTCCAAAAGTAAAAAAAGAGAATTCATTAGCATGTTGATATAACGAACCTTGGTTGCAACTTTTATCTAGTCCTCACTTCTCAATCTGAAGCACTCCAGCTTACTCATTAATGCTGCAATTCTCCCTGTAAATGAATGTGGAATTAGAAACATTGCTGGTGAAGTGCCATGGTCCACCGTCCAAGTATTATTACTATTATTATAGTCTCCTAAATTCGTATATGTAGGGACCAAAAAATGACATATTTACAAAGATATCTATGTAAATATTAATGTGGCCGGCGTGTTGATTCTTAAACTTTGCATGTACGTACGTATTTACGCATCTGTGTATCAATGCGTGCACTTCATGGCTCACAAGATCTTCTGTACATGGTTGAATAGATGTTCTGCACACTTCATTATTTTAAGGTTTTTTATTTATCTGTAAATCGCGTCACGTCTTGTGATAACTAATACTAGAATAATAACAATCGAGCTCCTAGGCATTTATATTAAATTAGTTAAAATGAAACCAGGAAATTAAGTAGAGATTACCTTGAAGAAGATGGGGGTCTAGAGTTTTCTCCTCGAGGTGATCCAGACGTTGCTGTAGGCTCGGTGGAAGCTGCTTTATACCAGGACATTGAGTAATGCTAAGAACTCTGAGAGATGAGTATGCTTGATGAGCAGGCCCATTCGGTAAGGATTCCAGGCTTGGGCAAGACCAAACATTGAGTTCTTCCAGCGACGGGACCTCTCCTGACAGGGAAACAAGACTGCCACAATACGCAATGTTCAAGGTCTTGATGGACGGAGGAAGGTTGGCAACCTCTGTCAAGCCATCACACCATTTTATTTCGAGTTTTTCCAGTGACGGGACCTCTCCTGACACGGAAACAAGACTGCCGCATTGCCCAATCTTCAAGGTCTTCAAGCCACCGCAGCTCCATATCTCTAGAGATTGTAGGCATGGAAAGAAGCAATGGTTACTACCGGTTGATGATGACTGCTTCGGTACTACAGATGTAGATGCTCCATCGGACATGGACTCTGGTTTGGAATCAAGCTCCACTTGCTCTGTATGAATGAATGAGATACAAGTGTAAAATAAACAATGTTTTCATGGTAGTGTGACATGTCAAAACTAATTTGTACATTATAGAACAGGTAATTTGGCAAGCAAAACGGCCTGGCGAGATAATTGTAAATAAGAGAGAAAAAAAGTTTGTGATTCCGGTGTCGGATTGCACAAGTGGAGGTATCAATTGTTCCTGGTGTTAATATAATTTGTACGTGCACGAAATGTGTAATCCCAAAAGTTTAAAAAATTTAGGTGGCACAAGTGCACAAGTAGCTAGAGGTATCAGTGGCGCACTCTACTACAGCGAAGCATATATATCTGTATGCATGCATGGTTGACTAGATGTTGTGTACACTTCATTATTATTTTAAGCTTTTATTATCACTAATCGTGCCACATGTTGGGATAATTGATAAAATGATGATTAAACCAAGAGTACCGTTTTAGGCAACAACAATCGAGATCCTCTCTCTGTTCATTTATATTAAATTAGTTAAAATGAAACCAAGAAATTAAGTAGAGATTACCTTGAAGAAGATGGGGGTCTAGATTTTTCTTCTCGAGGTGACCCAAACATTGCTGTAGGCTCGATAGAAGCTGCTTTATACCAGGACAATGAATAATGCTAAGAACTCTGAGAGATGAGTATACTTGATGAGGTCCATTCGGTAAGGATTCCAGGCTTTCGCAAGACCAAACATTGAGTTGTTCCAGCGACGGGACCTCTCCTGACAAGCCACCGCAATCATATATCTCTAGAAATTCAAGGCATGGAAAGAAGCAATGATTACTGCTGGCTGATGATGATGACACCGGCTTCAGTACTACAGCTGTAGACACCGTGGATTCATCCTCATTGCTGGACGAGGACGACCCTGCAGCGATCAATGATGATGACGTTTCCAGCCCCGTCGTGTCCTGCTGCTCACCGAATGCAATGGATTTGAGACTCTTGCACTCCTCAACAAGTAACGTCTTGAGAGATGTCTATAGGTTTGGGACCTGTACCAAAGATTCACAGTGAAATAACATTAGGGACTCCAGACGTGGCAGGAGGGTTCCACTCCGTTGTACGAGAGCAGATTGCTCAGGAGAAGCTTCATCTTCCGTGAGTCCTGTCAGTTTGTTGCATCGCACTCATAGATGTCCAATGTTGCTAGCTGTCCAAAACATTTCCATAGCGCCAGTGCACTCGAGCCAGAGACGAAAAGGTCACACCCTCCTAAGCACAGATCTCCCAGGGGGGATTTATGCTCACGTACTACCACCAGTTAGGCAGATTTTTCTTCTTTATTTGTTGCACTCGAACAAGTAACATTTCCATAGCGCCAGTGCACTCGAGCCCAATAGTTCTACATTTATTAGCCTCGGTGCTTCCGGAAAAGTAGTCAACTCTGGGCAACCAATAACTTCTAGTTGCTCAAGCGAAGGAAATGTTACTTGTTCTCCTAAAGATCCTTGGACCGCCTCCCATCTGTGAAACTTGTCCAGACCACTTAAACACATTCCCTTCAATGCTGGAAACGGGGAGCGGCACTCAACGCCATCTCTACCGGATGATTTTTTAATCACCGACGCTTTTGGTAATGCTAAGAGCTTTTTACAAAGCACGATCCGTAGATTCTCAACCTCAGGAAATAATATCTGCTCCTCTCCTTGCACCTCATTCCTATCCCACCATATCTCAAAATTTGGCATATTCTTCAACGACATCATCTTCAGTTTCTGAAACTTGGATGGGGCACCACCGCTGAACAAGCAATGTAAATTTTGTAGGTTGCTCAGGTGAAGAAACTGGAGGGACGGTAACTGCCAGAGTGCAGGAAGCTTCTTGAGATTTTGGCAATCTTCTAACTCGAGCTCCACCATGCCTTGCAACTCAAGCATCCATGTTGGAATACCACTGCTACTGCAGCAATACATCCTCAGAGCCTTTAGCCCATCATGAGGTCGGAGGCCTTCCAGCACCTCCTTATGTGCCTCCTTGTCATTATCGTCAGACCATCTTAATGTTAGTTCTTCCAGCCTTTTCTTGTCCCAGAGTTTTGCTGCTGTTGCATCTGCTCCTGTCGCATTTTCAAGCTTCCTTAGCTCCAACTGGCCACCAAGGTCCATGTTCTTCAGCGCTTCCATGTTACTGCAACTCGAGCCAGTACCTAATACAAAGCATGTAAGCGTCTGCAGGGAAGTGAGGTGTCCGAGGTTTGGAGGCATGCTCGTTAACTTCGGACATCCGTGAGTGTAGAGGTGACGGAGGGCAGTCATATACTTCATTGCCTTTGGAAGTTGTTGAAGACGTGCACAATAAGATAGGTTCAATGTTTGCAGATGATACAGGATGGTAATGTCTTCAGGAAGTGCTACAATATTACTTCTTGAGAGATCAAGATACCTTAGGTGATGAAGATATTTCGGCTTTAGAAATCGACCTTGCCATGTCTTTAAGGCTCGGACAGGCCTCAAATATTTTGATAATTTCTGCACATCTGCTATTTTGGATCTATCACATATTAGTGTCTGGATAGCTGGAGACCCTTTCTCTATGGAAGCATTCAAAACATTTTCTTCAATGTCAACTGATAGAAATAAATGGCGAGCGGAGTATGGAAAATCCTCACTTTGGCTCAGTTTTGTATCTATTGCAGCACATTCTTTTCCCATTGAATCCTGTGCAACATCATGCATAAGGTCATGGATTTTACAAGTAATTTGTCTATAAAATTTGTCTTGCTGCACCTCCTGAAAAAATGACCTTTGAGTTAGCTCATTGCAAATTTGTTTACCAATGTCTTCAGGACACACTCTTTTTTGCTCCGGGATTAAACTATTAGCCATCCATAGTCGGATCAGCATTTCCACATCAATCTCATGATCCTTAGGAAACATTGCACAAAAGGCAAAGCACTGTCGCATATGTGGTGGCAAGCAATTGTAACTGAGCTTGAGTACTGGTAAGATTCCATTTTCGTCATCACAAATTGTGCTTCGGTTTAATACCGCCTCCCATTCTTGCACGGTATTCTTAGTACGAAGTACAGAGCCCAATGCTGTAGCAGCTAAAGGAGAACCGGAACATCTCTTCGCAACATCACCAACCATACTGAGTAGCTGATCATCAGGCTTTTGTGCTTGCACACTAAATGCTTCTTTCTCGATAATTTTTTCTATGTAGCTTTGTTCCAAGTGCTTGATCTTATGGGCTTCGATTGTCCCCATGAACCGAGCAATTTCTTCATCACAAGTTGTTGTCAAAACTGAGCTACCATGGGCACCATGATGAAGGTAGGACCTCAACTTATCCCACTTGCTGGCCTCACGGTTCCATACATCATCTAGTACAAGGAGATACTTCTTCCCACTCACCGCACTTTTAAACATTTCCATTGTTGAACCACCAGTCATTTGATAGCCATTCTTTTTAGCCTCTTTCACTATTGTTTCAAACAGGGAATCCACATCAAAGTTTCCCGACACACACACCCAGATCTGAACCTCGAAGTGCTTCTGAATGGCGAAGTCCTTGTAAACAAGCTGCGCTAATGTGGTCTTGCCCATCCCACCCATTCCTACTATAGGAAGGACTGTGAGACCCACATTGCCCCCTTCCAAGCAATGCATCAACAATCTCCTTCTTCTCTTTTGCTCTTGAGTCACTTGCAATGTTCACATAATTGTCTGGCATGTTAGGATCTGTCCGTCTCCACTTCATGGACATTGGTGGCTGTGGTTTGAATTCGAACCTAAAGGTATTCATCTCTGCTATGAGGACATCAATTTCTTGCAAAATCATACGGAGCTTGTTTGCCATCCTATGACGGAACACAAACCGGTTGTGAGAAGGGAAGAGCTTTATGACATCCATACCGAACTCCTTGTAGTGCCCCTCTGCCTTTGCCTTGCGGCGGAGTGCCTTGTACTTGAACTCGTCAAGGACATCGTTCGCCTTGTAGGCCACGGTCCGGAGCTCCTCAAGCCAAGCTTTCGCCCCCTCTCTGTTTTTCGCTGCCTGCTCCTCGGCGTCAGTGATGACGTCTAGGACGGCGGGCAGCTTGCGCTTGAGGAGCTTGTGCTGCTCCTCCATGCCCTCCATGACCTTGTACCGGTCCAGGAGGTGGCTGGAGGCCTTCTCCTTCACCATGGACACCAGCGGCCCGACCACCATGGTGGCCAGTACCTCCGCCATCGGAACTCCTGGAGCTCGATCAGAACACGGGTGCAGGGTGCAAGGAAGCACAGCTGCTGGGTGGTGAAGGGAGTGGATGTGGATCTGATGAGGAGCTGCTTTGGAGGAAGACCAGTAACGCGTGCGCTGATTTTCTATTAAGTTGCTACCAGCCAAGTGGCTCTGCTTGGTTAGTTGCATGGACCAGAACAATATGATGTAGAAGTATGGCTTGCAGGTGAGGCGCGCTATACTGTAGCCGGCCTAATGTACAGGTGAGATCAGCTCCTTCCTTGCAGTACTAGCCCTCTCACCTTTGAGCACTTTATTGCAAGACTAGCTTTACTGGAGAATACATTCTTCAATCAGACGACTTTACTCGCTAAGAAAGGTTATGCAATTTATTCTTTAATCAGACGACTTCACTGGAGATTAATTAGCTTCAGGAAGGTTCACGCAAGAACGACCAATCAATTACAGAGTCTGCAAACAATCCTACGAGGAAGTCAGCTTCAAGAGCTAGCATCACTGGAATTTCAAAAAAGAAGAAGGGCAGTCATCAAGCATGCTGATATTACGTACGAACCTTGGTTACAACTTTCATCTAGTCCTGACTCCTCGATCTGAAGCACCCCAGCTTATTCATTAATGATGCGATTCTCACAGTAAGCCCTGATCATAGATGATGTTAGAATTTATATATGCATGTAAATGAAGGTGGAATTAGAGACATTGCTGGTGAAGTGCCATAGTCCACCGTCCAAATATTACTATTATTATTATCCTAAATTCGTATGTAGGCACCAAAAAGTGACATATTATATACAAAAAGATATCTATGTAAATATTAATGCGGCCAGCGTGTTGATTCTTAAACTTTGCATGTACGTACGTATTTACCCATCTGTGTATCAATACATGTACTTCATGGCTCGCTGGATCTTCTGTACATGGTTGAATAGATGTTCTACACACTTCATTATTTTAAGGTTTTTTATTATCTGTAAATCGCGTCACGTCTTGTGATAACTAATACTAGAATAATAACAATCGAGCTCCTGGCCAGTTATATTAAATTAGTTAAAATGAAATCAAGAAATTAAGTAGAGATTACCTTGAAGAAGATGGGGGTCTAGATATTTCTCCTCGAGGTTATCCAGACGTTGCTGTAGGCTCGGTGGAAGCTGCTTTAGACCAAACATTGAGTTGTTCCAGCGACGGGACCTCTCCTGACAGGGATACAAGACTGCCACAATGCGAAATCGTCAAGGTCTACAGCTGGCTGATGATGATGACACCGGCTTCAGTACTACAGCTGTAGACACCGTGGATTCATCCTCATTGCTGGACGAGGACGACCCTGCAGCAATCAATGATGATGACGTTTCCAGCCCCGTCGTGTCCTGCTGCTTACCGAATGCAATGGATTTGAGACTGCCGCATAGCGAAATCTTCAAGGTCTTGATGGACGGAGGAAGGTTGGCAACCTCTGTCAAGCCATCATAAAAACAATCTACTCCCTCTGTCCCAAAATAAAAGACGTTTAGGATTTTCGTGCCACAAGTTTGACTCGATTTGTAGAAAATACGTGCAATATTTATATCTTCAAATAAATTTGTTAAAAAACTAGACAAAAAGATCTTTTCGATGATACTAATTACTTAGCATAAATATTTATATATTTTAATATATAATTGCCGGCAGTTGTTTCTCGGGAAGCGAGAACGTCTTTTATTTTGGGACGGAGGGAGTATCTCTAGAGATTCTAGGCATGGAAAGAAGCAATGGTTACTGCCGGTTGATGATGACTGCTTCGGTACTACAGATGTAGATGCTCCATCGGACATGGACTCTGGTTTGGCCATCGGATCCGTCCGCGCCCGCCTCTCTACGCCGTCCTCCTCGCTGGGCCTGCGGTGACAGTGACGTCCGCCTCTTTCCCCGATCCCGCCTCCATCGACGGCGCCTTCGTCCAGCAAGTTAACCCCCGAATCCCACGTCGCCTTCCTCTCACCCGGCCGCCTTTGAGCCCCAGCTCGTCGTCTTGTAGGTTGACCCCCGCGCGGCTAGGGTTTACCCGCACTCTCGCCGGGCCTCGCTGACAGTGCTCTCCGCCTCCCTCCACGACCCTGCCTCCATCAACGATGACTCTCTCCAGCACGGTAAGCCCCCGGATTGTACGTCGCCGCAGTTTCACCCGGCCGGATCTGAGCCCCACTGCCTTGTCTTGTAGGTTTACCCCCGTGCCGCACCCATCATCACCGCCAGGACCCGGTCGACGTCTACTCCTTCCAGGTGTTTCCGAGACACCGTCCTCTTTCCAGGTGTAGCCCATCATTTCCAAATTCGCTATTTGCTTTTTTATCATAGTCTAGGAATTACATACAGTGGTTTTGTTAACACTAGAGCATTTGTAAGCACTAGAGCACATTGTTTGACAGCATACATAAATGAGAAGTAAAAAAAACAGAAACATCTACGAAGTGAAATCCTGTCTCAAATGCCTTGAATGTCCAGTGGAGAATCTGGATTACATGATTATGGGGTCATGTCTATAAATAGGTGGGGTCATATTTCTCATTAGGAACTTTTAGTACCATATGCACTAATTTTTCATTGAAATTGTCAAATCCGTCGGGGTCGACGGGCTCTGATGACAAGCTGTAGCTTTGCCCCTGTGAATGCGAATCCTTTAACAGTAAAGCGAATTATCTGTCAGTGTACCTTTCTTGTATCTTAGTTTTAATGCAGAGGTGCTGGAAATATCAAGAACCGCCTGCTCAATTAATTTAATTTAAGGCTAAAGATTATTTCCATTGAAAGATAAGAGTTTGTTGGTTGTGGAAGTGTGAACTATCATAGTGCAATTCTAAACCTCAGGTAACAGCATATATCAAGAAACCAATGTATGCAAGGTAATTGGATAGTAGAAAGGAGAACAGAAGATGCAATATATCATTTATGTATGCTGTGAAACAATGTGCTCTAGAAATTACATACAGTGCTTTTGCTTACACTAGATCATAGGATACAGGTTCTAGTGTTATGTTTTAGCTTCAAATGCTTCATCTATTACTTTAGATTCCAGGTTGTTTTTACTTGAGTACCAGTGTGTTTATTGTGTACCTGGAACGGAGAGTTTTCAGCCACTAAGAGCCGTTGATTTGTTGGTACTAGAGGTTTGTCCATTACCTGTCGATTTGTTGGTACTAGGGGTTTCACATTAATACATGCATGCAATCCTGATAATCTCACATGTTTGTATGCCTGCAAATGCGTGTTCACAATATGCAATATGAGACATTACTAATAGCAGGGGCTATTGGTTTCTCTGCCATATGCATGCATTAAAGTTTTGTCAGTATAACCCATTTAGCTTTGTATCCTTCAACTGCACCCATTCTGTAGGCTACTATAACTTTACAAGCTGCGTCAACACTGCTTAAATGAACATCTTACAAGTATACTCTATGTTTACACTGCAGAGATTTTAGGGACGTTTGATTCGCTGGTGACCAACACTGCCCAAACTGGCAGCATCGCCGACTTTCTCTTGCTCTCCACCTGCTGGCAGGCATTACAACCTCCGCTCAAAATGCCGCAAATAGTTCGAAAAGGCAAGTTCTCTTTTCCGTCCCCCACTCTCATCTTTGCGTACTGGGAACTACCCTCGGTATGACATAAGATATGCATCCATGTACATAATCCCTTCGAATGATGATCCTTGCATCAGATGAGCCAGGAACGTGCTAGCTAGGATGACAGAACCTGCTATCTGCTTCTTGACCTAATCATCAAGCAGAAAGACCTCTATCACTGGAACACCACTTCGCCAACCTCACTAGGGTGGACCAATGTCGTTCGTGGCTTCAATGAAGTCACGAGGCTCGGGTACACCAAGAAAAAGTGCCAGAACAAGTACAACGAGCTGAAACATTTGTATTTCAATTGGCGCGACGGTCAGACCCATACTGGGCTAGGCTGTGACCCGCTTACTGGAGAGGTTACAGCTGACCTCGAGTGGTACGGCGCCAGTCCTGGGGTACTAACTACATGGATTTCCTAGACTATTTTTTAGCAATTAGGTTCCCACTAACTCAGTATTAACTTCGCCATCACTGGAACACGTGCAGGAAAGTAGCCAACCTGCTCATGACAAGTTCAGACGCCCCCAATGCTGTGAGCAACTGATCATGATTTTGGAATGCACCCCACGTGACAGGGGCGAGTTGGTATCAGCGGGGGGCCATCAACCTGACAAGACACCCAGTAGTGGAAGCCCTCGCACTCCTCCGGGCTTGTTGGACAAGCCGGTCCTACCACGTAGTGGTGGTCAGCCCTCGAAGAGAGTCCATAGGGAATATTCTGTTAACAGTCCTCACAGTAAGAAGAGTAGTAAGACTCCATCCATTGACGACTACCTTGAAGACCTGAGCCACATCATCTAAGAGGCTAGGTCCCAGAAAGCCCGTCAAGGCACATATGCTGAGGAGTTGGCCCAAGTCCATCAAATTCTGTTGCAAGATGGTTACATTGAGATTGATGTAGTATTCGCGCAAGCCCTTAACCTTTGCAACAACAGGCTCTGTCGTCGGGCTTTTCTTAATATGAAAACTAAAGAGGGCCAGTTGAACTAGATCAATGTGACGTGGGACTTCGTGTGCTCCACAAAGTCCTAGTGATCAGCACTATTGTTCGTACTGCGTTTTTTCTACTATTTCTGTTTTCCACCATGTGCATGTTGAGTTGATTTTGTTCGTTGTTTCGTTGTTTGTTTTGTTTGTTTTAACAAAGACCTTTGCGGAGAACTACGTGCATGTCATTGTCTCGTGTTTTGAATAAAATATACGTGTCATGCTGTGAGCGTTGTAAGACCTTATGCATGGATCAAGTTCCTGTTGTTCATTCCTTACATACATTTATCTAGGTGGTAGTGCCAACTAACTAGTTCAGGTAACTTGACATGTTCACTTATTTAGCAAATGTTTTGTTCCCAATATATGCATCAGCATGTTACTGATTTGTGCCCATTTGCAGGTAGCATAATGAGCAGCACTGATGAGTCATCGTACAACGACACTTCCAGTGATGGACCGAGCACTGTGATCTTGGCGAAGGCAGCAGTCGTGCTGCGGAGGTTGAAAGGTATTATGTCGCAGCAAATGACTGAGGTAAATCCTCCTTGTCCCATTCCTAAACTATCTGGAGCCCAATAGATGCAGCTTACCCTTGCCGACCAAACCAAATGTATAGACAATTTGTGCATGACGCGTGATGCCTTCATGCATTTGCATGACACCCTGCTTTGTTTTGGCCTGCCATCAACAGATAAGTGTACCTCGGTAGAAGCTTTAGGCATGTACATATGGACCTGTTCCCACCAATCTGCAAGTAGAGAGTGCAAATATAGGTTTGAAAGGTCTTTAGATATAGTTAGCAGAAAGATAACAACAGTTGCAGAGGTCATGTATAGGTGGGCAAGTACTGTCCTAGTGCCCGCAGATAGGAACTACACACGTGTAAACCAGAAACTTGCTGCATATGCATCATGGTTTGTTGGATGCATAGGTGCTATAGATGGCACGCACATAGAGATTGAGGTTAACCGTGAAGCAAAGGCCGATTTCTTCAATAGGAAAGGCAAAACAACAATTAATGTTTGCGCCATCGTGGATATGGATGGCCATTTCACATACGTGGGGGCCGAGAAGGCAAGGGCATGTCATGACATGGCGGTGTTGAAAGACTATCAGGACGACGGTTGGTTCCCGCATTTCCCAGCAGATTCGTGATGCCTAGCAAAATTTTTTACTTTGTGTATGACATACTTTGTGTATGCCTAACAAAAGATTGCTTGATATATGATATACATATGCACTTTGGTGATCTATTGGTTTTGCTTGGATGATGTAGCATTGATGAAATCTCATATGTTGATTCAGCTAAATATTCTGCATTACATGTCATCTGCTGATAAGCTTTAGAATTTTACAGGATTGTGCTTGTTTCTAATTCTAGCCTTTCTATGTTGTACAAGAATGCACAACTATTATGAAAAGGAATTTTCTTCTGTGCATATAAGCAAAATTTATAGACTAAAGGAAGTATTTGAAAACTAGTTACATTCTGATCTGAAAAATCACAACATTTTAGTCAATGTTGACAGGACTAATTGGTGATCTGTTGTCATATCTTATAGGCCGGTACTACCTAGCGAACATGGGTTACATAGATATGCCAGGTTACATGACTCCCTTCAGAAACACAAGGTATCATATGAACGATTTTAGGGGTGTAGAGTTTCATCGGTTGCAGCGGGAGGAAAAATTCAACTACATTCATGCGAAGTTGCAAAATGTCATTAAAAGGAGGTTTGGGGGCTTGAAAGAATGTTGGCATATTCTGAATGGGGTGCCATACTGCAAGAGGAAGAAGCAGGATATGATAGTCATTTCATGCTTTGCTTTAGAAAATTACTTGTGGATGCTTAAGTATGGAGCTGATCCACCTTCGTATGAACTGCCGGAGTGGGTTGAGCTAAATCAGGGAACCCCAATCTTTGGAGTTAGGGAGTTGATATCTATGGTTGTGTGGAGTGGTATCTGATTTAGGAAAGTTGAGGTAATGCAGCTACTTTCTAAATATCTGCCTACTGTTTACAGTACTGAATTGTGGTAGGTAATTACTCCTCATACATTAGCACCTCAAAATTAAAATTAGATAACTGTTAGTATACTATGCTTTTCTTTGCATAGTTGATTACACCTCAAACATGTGAACCTGTCACTACTGGTAGAATTGCAATGGTAGGATCAGTCACATGGTTCCCATTGTAGAATTCTACCTTGCATATGACTAGTAAATGTTGTACAAGTTCTTGTGAATGGAGTTAGAAGACACTCGACACTAGTATGTGCAACTTAGTGTGGTGGGGTTTGAACATTCTGCCTTTGAAGAATGCTTAGAAACAAATCACTTCTAGCATATGCTTTCTTAAGATTGTTTGAGAAATAAGCAAACCTGACTGGTGCAATGATTGTACCTCATCTGTTTAAAAGTGATAATAATCATTTTTCTATATGAAATCAGGTGCTGGCATCCTGTTCTAGGGGGATTCCAAATTTTGCTTCTCATATGTTTCTGTTTAATTTGAGTAGCTGCATCATCAAAATTGTACTTTTTGAAGAAAAAACTAGACTTTTGAGCATGAGTGACCCTCTGTTAACATATTCAGTTTTTCAGGTGTTATCAATCATTCTGGGGATGGTACAACTTTGCCTGCGAGGCTGCCTCTCTTGAGAAATCAGGCCCAACATTTGAACCTTAAACATGTTGATTACATCTCAAACATGTGAACCTGTCACTGCTGGTAGAATTGCAATGGTTGGATCAGGAGTATTTTAGTTCCATAATATTTGAAAGTTAGCATCATGGTAGAACTGTATTTGTTTTAAGTTCACATGTTTACTTCATCTTTTCATTCAACAAAGTTAATCAACAGGCCACATGAAGGTCTAGACGCAAGAGACAAGCGACATGATCTCTTAGGAATGGATAATGGATATACAATTGATCATGAAGTAGAATGTGGGAAACTAATTACTCTCTTCAGTGCACCAGACTACCCACAGTTTCAGGTGATAATTTTTGCTTCCATCTTCGATATTGAATCCCTTCTTGGCTTATTGTTGCAAGTTCTGTAAGAGATTTATTCAGCTTCTAAAACTTTTTGACTAATATATAAGTTCTGCCTTTTTTATCCTTTGCATATTATGGTAATAATAATATGGTGTTAACTCTTTGTTTCTGGACCTGGTATAGGCTACAAAGGAACGACATTACAATCGTGGAGCATATATTGTCCTTAATCCACCTGATTTTGCTACTCCTGTTTTCCGTAGCTTCAAAGCTGTAAAGCCTCGACCTGTGGTATGTGACTCAATCCTCAATAATATACTCAGAACTACTTGATTTTGTAATGTGAGACTTAAACAATCAATCTGGAGTGGGGGAAACAAATCAATTGACCCAGAGTATCTTTTTTCTTTTGTTTTCCTATATATATGCATGCCTTGAATGGTGTACATGATGCTGTCACCAGGAAGCCAACATATGACATTTTTCTTTTGATGGAGATGAGGCATTTTGTAGTGAATGTAGTTAGATTGTGCAAGCAAACGTATGACTTGTGCCTGCTATTTGACCTAGTTAGGTTGTATGTGTGTTGTATGGATGTAACAAATGGACTGTAAATTGTTGGTTGAACATGTAACTTATTTAACTGCAAATTTCGGATTGCAAATATGTTATAAACAACCTTATGTGCATTGTGGTTTGGCGCCATTACAAGAAACCCACCTGTTGTTGGCGCCAATATTCAATTTGAATTTGAAAATTTAAAATCAGCATCATAACCAGTTGCTGGGAATGACTGGTGGCTGAAATTGGCTGACTGGGCTGGCTGGTCCAGCCTCAGCACCAGCCAGCCAATTCAGGCCTGCAAAACAGGCTGTTCTTTATTTGGTGCCCATACATCTAGACTGGACAATGAAGTAATATATCTGCTACCAGCCTGTAGGCATGCTTGTTGTCTACAGTTGGATAGTTCTACTTTTCTTAGCTTCGGTGCTTCAGGAAAAGTATGTTGGTCTTGAGATCTCTCGCGCGGGTGAGCCGATCACTCACCGTCGTTGTCGACCACACACACTATGGCTGGAGGTTGAAGAGGGAGGGAGAACAGAGCGCGCGCATACACAGCACAAGCACCAGCATTGGCCGAAGCTCTGCAGAGGAGATGGCAAAACTAAACTCGCTCTCTTTACTGAGTTGCAATGGGAAGCCATATATACAACTCTACCCATCTAATCCTAGTACACAGACATGTCAGGCTGCCATACTGCTACAGTGATAGATGTGATAGCAGGGCTGACTTTGGCGCTTGCCTCTGCTATGGCTACAGTGCGGCAGGGGAGCCTTTCGATGCCTGCCCCTGCTGCGGCTATAGTGCAGCAGCAGGGGAGCCCTTTTGACGCCTGCCCCTGCCACACGTACAGAGGGAGAGCAGCATATTACTTAACAAAGTAGACAACTCTGGGCAACCAAAAACTTCTAGTTGCTCAAGCGAAGGAAATGTTACTTGTTCTCCTAAAGATCCTTGGACCGCCTCCCATCTGAGAAACTTGTCCAGAACACTTAACCACATTCCCTTCAATCCTGGAAACGGGGAGCGGCACTCAGCGCCATCTCTACCAGATGATTTTTTAATCACCGATGCTTTTGGTAAAGCTATCAGCTTTTCACAAAGCACGGTCCATAGATTCTCAACCTTAGGAAATAATATCCGCTCCTCTCCTTGCACCTCATTCCTATCCCACCACATCTAAAAATTTGGCATATTCTCCAAGGACATCATCTTCAGTTTTTGAAACAAGCAATGTAAATTTTGTAGGTTGCATATGTAAAGAAATTGGAGGGATGGTAACTGCCAGAGTGCAGGAAGCTTCTCGAGATTTTGGCAATCTTCTAACTCGAGCTCCACCATGCCTTGCTGCTCAAGCATCCATGTTGGAATACCACTACTACTGCAGCAATACATCCTCAGAGCCTTTAGCCCATCATGAGGTCGGAGGCATTCCAGCACCTCCTTATGTGCCTCCTTTTCATTAATGTCATACCATCTTAATGTTAGTTCTTCCAGCCTTTTCTTGTCCCAAAGTTTTGCTGCTTTTGCATCTGCTCATGTCGCATTTTCAAGCTTCCTTAGCTCCAGCTGGCCACCAAGGTCCAAGTTCTTCAGCGCTTCCATGTTACTGCAACCCGAGCCAGTACCTAATACAAAGCATGTAAGCTTCTGCAGGGAACTGAGGTGTCCGAGGTTTGGAGGCATGCTCATTAACATATCACATCCATGAGTGTGGAGGTGACGGAGGGCAGTCATATACTTCATTGCCTTTGGAAGTTGTTCAAGACGTGTACAATAAGATAGGTTCAATGTTTGCAGATGATACAGGATGGTAATGTCTTCAGGAAGTGCTACAATATTCCTTCTTGAGAGATCAAGATACCTTAGGTGATGAAGATATTTCGGCTTTAGAAATGGACCTTGCCGTGTCTTTAAGGCTCGGACAGGCCTCAAATATTTTGATAATTTCTGCACATCTGCTATTTTAGATCTATAACATATTAGTGTCTGGAGAGCTGGAGACCCTTTCTCTATGGAAGCATTCAAAACGTTTTCTTCAATGTCAACTGATAGAAATAAATGGTGAGCGGAGTATGAAAAATCCTCACTTTGGCTCAGTTTTGTATCTATTGCAGCACATTCTTTCCCCATTGAATCCTGAGCAACATCATGCATAAGGTCATGGATTTTATAAGTAATTTGTCTGTAAAATTTGTCTTGCTGCACCTCCTGAAAAAATGACCTTTGAGCTAGCTCATTGAAAATTTGTTTACCAATGTCTTCTGGACACACTCTTTTTTGCTCCGGGATAAAACTATTAGCCATCCATAGTCGGATCACATTTCTACATCAATCTCATGATCCTTAGGAAACATAGCACAAAAGGCAAAGCACTGTCGCATATGTGGTGGCAAGCAATTGTAACTGAGCTTGAGTGTTGGTAAGATTCCATTTTCGTCATCACAAATTGTGCTTCGGTTTAATACCACCTCCCATTCTTGCACGGTATTCTTAGTATGAAGTACAGAGCCCAATGCTGTAGCAGCTAAAGGAGAACCGGAACATCTCTTCGCAACATCACCAACCATATTGAGTATCTGATCATCAGGCTTTTGTGCTTGCACACTAAATGCTTCATTCTTGATAATTTTTTCTATGTAGCTTTCTTCCAAGTGCTTGAACTTATGGGCTTCCATTGTCCCCATGAACCGCGCAATATTTTCATCACGAGTTGTTGTCAAAACTGAGCTACCGGGGGCACCATGATGAAGGTAGGACCTCAACTTATCCCACTTGTTGGCCTCACGGTTCCATACATCATCTAGTACAAGGAGATGCTTTTAAACTTTTCCATTGTTGAACCACTTACTGTACTTTTAAACTTTTCCATTGTTGAACCACCAGTCATTTGACAACCATTCTTTTCAGCCTCTTTCACTATTGTTTCAAACAAGGAATCCACATCAAAGTTTTCCGACACACACACCCAGATCGGAACCTGGAAGTGCTTCTGAATGGCGGAGTCATGGTAAACAAGCTGCGCTAATGTGATCTTGCCCATCCCACCCATTCCTACTACAGGGAGGACTATGAGACCCACATTGTCCCCTTGGCCAAGCAATGCATCAACAATCTCCTTCTTCTCTTTTGCTCTTGAGTCACTTGCAATGTTCACATAATTGTCTGGCATGTTAGGATCTGTCTGCCTCCACTTCATGGACATTGGTGGCTGTGGTTTGAATTTGAACCTAAAGGTATTCATCTCTGCTATGAGGACATCAATTTCTTGCAAACTCATACGGTGCTTGTTTGCCATCCTATAACAGAACACAAACCGGTTGTGAGAAGGGAAGAGCTTTATGACATCCATACCAAACTCCTTGTAGTGCCCCTCCGCCTTGGCCTTGTGACAGAACATCATTCGCCTTGTAGGCCACCTCACGGAGTTCCTCAAGCCAAGCTTTCACCCGCTCTCTGTTGTTCGCTGCCTGCTCATCGGCGTTAGTGATGACGTCCAGGATGGCAGGCAGCTTGCGCTAGAGGAGCTTGTGCTGCGCCTCCATGGCCTCCATCACATCGTACTAGTCGAGGAGGTAGCTGGAGGCCTTCTCCTTCACCATGGACACCAGCGGCCCGACCACCATGGTGGCCAGTACCTCCGCCATTGGAACGCCCGGAGCTCACAACACACACGCAGGACACAAGCAAGCTAGCACTATACCTAGCCATGTAGCCCGTGGGCTCATGGCCCGGCCCGTGGCCTGGCAATTTGGCCCGGCCCAAGCACAGAACGATCCAGTGGCCATCGGGCCCGGGCCAGCCCGACCCGAAGGACCAGGACATGCCTGGGCCGCCACCTAGGCCCGCGGCACGGCACAGGCACGGCTTGGTGAAAGAGGCGGCCCGGTGAGCGGCCCGGTGCCTCCAATGGCTAGTGAGGCAGGCCGCAGGCAGCCCAGCCCACGAAGTCGCCTCCCTCGCGGGCGTATATATGCTGCCCCCCGGCCTGCCCCCCCGATCCCTACCCCTAATCCCACTCCACTCCCGCCACTCGTAGTCACAGTCGGCTCGTCTCGCTCGCTCTCGATCCGCCGCCTGGAGCTCACCGGCCCTGCTCCGGTGATCTCGTCGCCGCTCGTCCACCTCGACCTAAGTTCACTATCAATACTATGTTCTATAAGGACATCGGTGGAGAGGTAAGGCACCTTTGGTTTGCTTTGAGCACAGATGGGATGAATTCTTTCGACCAGGCTAGAAGCAATCATAGCACTTGGCCAGTGACGCTCTGTGAAGCGACCTGATTTCCGCGAAGGGAAATCCACAGAGTCGAAGTGTAATAAGACCGTTGTAGATCATATTACCCAAATTCCAGTCAAATATCACATCCATACAACGATAATATCAGAGTACAAATAGTGCGGAATTACATAAATTTATTACATTGCCGCATTGGCGGAATCAAAAGTAGCATTCATTCAGAACAGCTTGAAGATAAGATCGCCAAACTCGAGCGTAGGAATGAACCCCTCAACCGTCAAACTCCTCGGAGCTATACTCCTCAGCAGAACCTGTGTGCCAAAATTTATCAGTACGATTTGTACTAGCCACTCCCACCCTATGAGCATTGCTTTGTGGAAATTAGATGCAAGTTGGGTATAATCAAAAGGAACCTATAAGACTGGGGTTTCCTATGTATTAGCATATTAAGTACATAATAATAGTTGGTCAAGTTTTAACACCATTCCCACACCCATTCCACCCCATTCCCATTCCAGGGCCAGGTTTCGATCCTAGGATCAATATACCACCATCTCTACACCATCACCATACCACACCCATACCATCACTCAGTCAATAGGCCAACTCCCTCTCGGCACTGTCTCAAGGCCCGTAGCCCCTGGCTACGTTCGAACACTCACTCCCAGGGGAAGAAGAGAAGGACTCATCTCACTATCTAGTTTAAGCGAAACCCAAGAAAGGTCCATAGCCGACAAGTCGGCATATGTATCGATCGATCAACCATACACTCTGCAGAGGTTTTACATAACCACAAGATCCGCCTTCCTCGCTGACCGTCATCAACTGGGCTGATTCCGGCCGCTTGCTAGCCTAGGATAATGCCACTCTACCATTCAGCCCTGGTACACCCCAAGTCTGGTCTGGGGTGACTAAAACTGTGAGTCATGAACCGGGTCCACAAGGTCTCCATGAAGTCTCGGAAGGGTGTGGGGGGAATCCTCCGCACCCCGTACCTCCCTCACACTGTCCGCTATCAACCTAGCAGTGGTGGCAAAATCCTATCAAGTAGTCCGGCCGTCCCGCACCATATAGGGCGAGTGGTACGTAAGGCTTCCCGGTGAATCCGAGTACTAGTAAGTCCTTAGGGATGACCAAGCCAGAATGTCTTCATTAGGGTTTCCATTTACCGTGCCACCACAGCACCTCCACCCTGGGCTCCTCCCATCACAGGTTCACACCCAGGACCACCTCATATACCATTTACCCACCACAGGTATCCATTCCAGGGGTGCCCAGGTAGCACCCCATGGCAAGACTTGCCCCAGGCTCGTCGTATACTCCAACTTGGTCGACACAACCCTCACCCTCCACGCACCCAAGTCACACACGCAGCACTCTCCCCATAGTCCAGATAACACCAGTTTCCACCATGCATCAATGTAGTGCAAGCGTAGTAGAAGTAATAAGCAATGAAATATAGTAGCAAGCGTGTGACTAGCCTAACAGCAGGGTGAGCAGGGGTAAGGTTGCATCAAGGTAAAGACCATCAAGAAAGCATACTACCATGCAAGTCCTATCATAGTGTGATTATAACAATGAAGTAAAGCACAAGCATTTCTATTTTAGCCATGCGTAATAGGTGCTACGAGATTGGGTGGGCTGTGGCACCTTCAGTGTAGTCGTCTCCGTACTCCTCACGGTACTCAAGATCCTCGTCCGTCTGGTTCTCCTCCGAGTCTGCAAACGATCACATTATAGTCGCGTTAGCGACGCTATAGAATAGCACAAAGAAGCCATAAAAATTCAAAAGAGTCAAATGCACTCAAACATGGGTTCATTGCATAGAGCTTGATTTTAGATGAATTTTGGTCCTAGTTTCGTATTTTTCTGAGGTCATATGAATTAGTTATGAATTTCTGAAGTTTAAATCATTTCTAAAAATGGAAAAATGCCGAATTAATCCTGGGCTGACATGTGTCACGCTGTGACTGGTCCACGTGGCATGCTGACGTTAGCATGATGTCAGCATCTCGGTTTCGAGCTGACAGGTGGGGTCCAGCTGACGTCAGTATGACGTCAGCAACGTCATCAATTCCGACAGGTGGGTCCAGGGACTCTCGGGTCACTGACATGTGGGTCCGGTCAAAGTCAACGTCAAGTCAACAGCGAGTCAACTGTCAACGGGTCAGGGTCACTGACGTGTGGGGCCAGGGCAGCTGACGTCAGCAGCTGATGTCATCGTGGCGTCAGCATGACGTCACCTCGGCCGTGTCGCCTTCTGACGTGTGGGCCCCGCATGACGTCAGCATGACGTCACCATCTGACATGTGGATCCAGCAGCTCTGTGTCGCTGACATGTGGGGCCAGGTCAATGGTCAACGTTGACCAGTCAACGGTCAATGCGGGCCGGGTTCAAACTGGGCCTAGACAGGGCTGGATTTGGGCTGGGCCGGCCCGGACACGTGGCGTGCTGTGGCGCTGCCACGTTATAGCCATGGGCCTTTACTGGGCTGTGGCCTATGGCTCACGGTTCACGGTGGACTTAGGAGTGCTGGTCCATGGACCGCAGACTGGTCTACGGTGGACCAAGTCCACCCTTCTTCCCTTAGGCGTGGTCCATGTGCACCGGGTGTAGGTGCGTGCGGCCGACGAGGAAGAAATCCTCTGATTCCTCCCTGGCATGTTCTTGCCGGTGGTGAGCTCGCTGGTGAGCCTCCGCGGCGGCGCTAGCGTCCGGTTAGGGTAGGTAAAGGCTTCCCCATGTCTTGGCGATTACGATGGTGGGGTCGGGGCGACGGCTAGGACTTCCTAGGACCCTGGCCACGGTGGTTGGCGGCTCGGCGATGCTCGCCGACGGTGAAGTCATGCGTGCAGGCTTCCTGGTGGCTCGGCTGGGTGGGTAAAGGCTTCTATGGATCCATGGGGGCACGGCGAGGGCGTCCAGGGCTCAAGGCTGGGCTTCGGGTGCCCATGTGGCCGGTAGGAGCTCCACGGTGGCCACGGCGGCATGGTGGCGACGGCGAGGCACGCAGGAGCACTTTGGGGCACCAGCGGGGTGGTCTCGGCATGGTCGTGGGTGTGCGCGTGAGTGCGTGTGTACCCAGAGGCCGGAGATGGCCTTGGCCTACGCGCTCATGGTGTGGAGCGCCATGGCCGGAGTAGCAAGGTCCGGCGGCGAGTAGGGAAAGAACCGGGGGCTCACCGTTGGTGTTGGAGTCGAATGGGTAGCGGTGCAGTGGCGGGTTGTGGCCATGTAGCTCCGGATGCAGTGCCGTGCAGCATTGCTCGCTCCGGCTCCGGCTTCGGTGAGCTTTTCCCCCTCCCCGCATCGGCTTCGACGCTGTCCCCCCTTCTTCTTCCTCTTCTCCCTCTTCTCTCTGGCTCGGGTGTGCAGTGGATGGCCACCAAGTGGCGGCGAGGTGATGGGAACGTGCTAGGCCTCTCGGGGCCGGGGCTTTTATAGCCGAAGCTCCAAGCTCTAATGGTGGACGGGGCGGACGGCTGGTGATGCGTCGTTGGCATCAAGCGGCATCACGGGGCGTGGGTGGTTGGCGTGGAGGTTGTGTGGGCGCGATGCCAAGGGAACAGGGCCATGCCCCGGGCGTGACCCCCTTGGCCTGCTCCTACCAGGGCTGTCGGGGCTTGGTCGGAGGCGTGAGCGGCGTGGGGGAGGAAGACGACACTGTGGACGTGGGTGGCTGATATGCGGGGCCCGTGTGGCAGCGGCTGCAAGCGAGGTGAGAGCGGCGTGTGGGTGTGAGCGGCATGCGGGCTGGCTGCGTGGGCCACGAGCGCTAGCAGGCCAGCGAGGCCGTGAGGGCAAGCTGGGCCAGCCACTGGGAGCGCGTGGGGTCTGAGGGCGAGCTGGGCCAATTCGGTTGCCTGGGCTGGCTAGGCCGCGAAGCTGAGCAGGCCTGGCTGCTATGAGGCTTCTTCTTCTTTTCTTTTTCCTTTTTCTGTTTTCTTTTTCTTCTTCCTTGATTT